CAGTGCTTCCCGCGGTTGTCGCATTCGAGCGATTCTCACTATCCAGTAGAATCATTAACATGGTGTGGATTTGTCAGTATCCGCCAGGACAAAACAACCAACATTCGTTGTTGGTTCTGTGGTAGGGCCGCCTGTTTCATACAGTAGTGCCGTTCCTGCGGCCGCCGAGTTTGTGCGGTTACGCGGTTGGTCATGTATATCGTGCAGATGATGTGCAATCGGTATGTGCCGGGGCGAAACACATCAATCGTGTTTTGGTGGCCTGGTTTGGGGGGGCTTATTTCAACAGCACTACCCACATTTACACAGTCGGCATTCGTGCGATGTACGCACGAAGTATTTAAATGCCAATTTTTCCGCTATTCGAAACGCATCAACTCGGTTTCGTTTTGCTCTGTTGCTTGTTGTGAAAGGGAGCGCTTGCACACTCGCAGATGGCGATTGAATCGAGGTCACGCCTGGGCAGGGCGGCAGGACGCGGGCGGACCGGTGCGTGGGGATCGTGGCCGGCAACGCCAGGTGTTTCCTTCCAGAAGCCATGACGGCGGATATGCCCGCCGGGTGCCCCACGCCGCGACCACGCCGCGACCGTCTTCATGGGAGCCAGGGCTTACGCCCGCTCGGGGAGCAGCAAGGCGCCCGTGCCGTGCACGGTCTTCTCCGCGGACCGCAGACCGCGGCCCAGGGGCGGCGGTGGAATCAAAAGGATGTTATTGAAGGGGTCGCCGAGAGCTGAGTGAATTAAAACACACGGCCGAATGAGGGCGGCCCGACGGCATGGCAACAAGGGCTGCAGCGAGATTTAAGGCACAAGCGAACTCAGACCTGATGGACGACCTCATCGGGTCCTCAATCGCGGAGCGGGGCAGCTGGTCGATGCGGCGGCGGTGTGTAGGAAGCCACCCGTATCACCGCCGGGTGCCGATTATTCCTGCCGTCGTCACGCCGGAGTGGTCGGGGTTCTCCTAGTGCATCGCATCAGGCGATCCAAGAATCGGGATGAGGTTAACGACCCATGATCGGGATATAGAGCAGACGGCGGAGCAGTTGCTCTGGTGGTGGCGTCGTTGTCATGTTGTGCAACGTTGCCCGATGACGCGCCGTTAACATCCTGTCTTAGTTAAAGGTTGTGCAGTGCAAGTTATGAAGTATGCCCAAGCCCGCGGAGCTTCGAGGCAAATAGTTACGAAAGAAATAGGGGTGAATCCCAGAAACTAACGCGCGCTGCACCATTTAGCTAAGGATATGGGAATTTGCTGTATATGGCTGTTGGGGGCAACACGTTGGAACGAGTATCCCGAAGGGCGGGAAGATGAAGTCAGAGGAATGTGTAGGAGCCGCCCACAGTAGAGGACTCGCAAGGGGTGTCCCGTTCGGTACGACATAGCGAGTCGGGAGGCAATCGGGGGAAAGCACTGTGTGCGGTAGGTAGGCAGTAACAGGAGCTAGACTAATCCCACTGCACGAGTAGTGTCATGATGACCTCGATGTTGGCGAAGAAAATGGTAGGGTACCATTTTAGGGACTTGGTCATCTGAGACTACTGTGTGCAGTAAGATTGGTTCCCTCCACCGCAGGAGAGGGCACCCTCAGTTGCTGTTTGGAGGGAAGAGAGAGACAGTCTTTATTGGGAGAGAGGCAGAGGCACGATAGAAAGGCCGCAGAAACGTGTCTGCGGGAAATGTGCTCTCTGCCAGTTTGGTATCTCTCTCTTCCCTCGGGCGGTAGAAAATATAAATAAATGCAGTTCGAAAGAAAACAATAAAGGGCAGGTTTGTTTAAGGCGTAGACAAAGGCGTAGACAAAACAAACCGAGGTTTATTGAAACAACTCGAATTGCCATACTGTTTATATTGGGGTACCCGGAACGCATTGCGTACTGCGGGGCCCCCTCGGTCGAGAGGAGGAGTCGCATAGGTGGTCCATTCTGTTCAAGCCTTGTGTCCACAGAGTCTTAGCGTGCCAGAGAGAGAGTATCGCAGAGACAACTAGCGAGGTGGTCACATAGAAGGCTTCTAGCGGTGTGCCAGCCTCTGGAGCTGACAGGAAGTGGAGTCTTTTCCCACCCACCCACCCCTTTTCTTTCGAAGGTGGGGGAAAGGAGAGGACGGATTAAGTATCCGGTAGAACTTATAGCTGTATGTATGTGAGGCGAAGAAAATGGTAGGGTACCATTTTAGGGACTTGGTCATCTGAGACTACTGTGTGCAGTAAGATTGGTTCCCTCCACCGCAGGAGAGGACACCCTCAGTTGCTGTTTGGAGGGAAGAGAGAGACAGTCTTTAATGGGAGAGAGGCAGAGGCACGATAGAAAGGCCGCAGAAACGTGTCTGCGGGAAATGTGCTCTCTGCCAGTTTGGTATCTCTCTCTTCCCTCGGGCGGTAGAAAATATCAATAAATGCAGTTCGAAAGAAAACAATAAACAGTGGGTTTACTAGAATGGGTTGACGTTGTTGTCGTTTTTTTTTTTTGTCCCATTGCACGGTTGACATTGTCAATTGCCAACGTTTCCCGGTATGGGTTTCCTTCCTGGCGGGGGTGTTGTCTGTTCTCGGGACGATATGTGCCGTGCGTATGTCAACATCGTGGTTCCGACTTCTTGTCAATATCTTGGTTCCGACGAAACCTTTTTTCCTTGTTGCGTCGTACACAGGGTAACGACGATATTTTACGATGCCCGATGCGGAGTTCGTGGTGAAGGTGTCGAGCGTGGATTTTCTATGGTGCTGTGTTTGGCTTCATATATTTTTTCACAACATCGTTTTTTGTGGCGTCATTACGTATGTTAGTGTTTCCTTCGTGGTTCTTCAGGACCGAGCCGAATAGTTCCGAATATGGGGCATATACAGCAAGGGGTAAGGGATTCAAGTCGTGGCAGAAGCAACCCCGCCCCAAGAAGCGTAAGAGGGTTTCAACCACGTGGACGCGAGATGGTCACGACATACCGGGTTTCAAATCGTCGCCGAAGCGAACCCGCAGGCCAAATGGCGTTCTGTTCCTTACTTTATCTCTCCCCGAGGTAGTATACACGCATTCGCGTGCGTGCACGTTCAGGTGACAAAAGCGTTTCAAACCATACCCGAAGCTTTCCCGCCCCGCGGCCCTCTTCATTGCGTCGTGGTTTCCCGTTTATTCCTTTGTCTAGGTGCAGATGTTTGATACACTCGCGCCATCACCAAGTGAAATTCCCCCGTGGGTACCCATGGGTTCCCACAGAGAATGCCCATGGGTACCCATGGGTTCCCACAGGCAATGCCCATGGGTACCCATGGGTTCCCATGGTATTGCCCGTGGGTACCCATGGGTTCCCATGGGTATTGCCCATGGGTACCCATGGTGACTCATGGCCACACACATGGTGACCCATGGGCACCCAAACTGATGCCTTACGCTAGCCCATGGTCGTCACCGTGGGTAGCGATCCATTGGTATCGGTGGTGTAGCACCCTACGGGTGCCGACGGGTATTCATGATGATCACCACGGGACCTATTCGTCCCGACTAAGGAAAGACGACACGTCTTGGAGCTTTGAAAACAACAAAACCCACCGTACCGTTTCAATCTGCAACAAGTAAGTATGATGAAGAGACCTGCCCAAGGCCCCAGCGTGCGCGTGCACTGTACGAAACACGGGAGATGCGACAACGCCCTCAGCGTCGCGCCGTGGATCTGGGTGAGCCTAGCGCCGTGGATCTGGGTGAGGCCACACTCACGCGCTTTCCTCCACGCCCACACCAAGCTTTAGATACCTTCCTTCCTTTCTGTACATTCTTGCGCCGAGCTGGAATAATGCTGGACTCACTAACTGCTGTGCTGTGAGCCTCCCACGGAACCTTGGGTGTACCAGCTCGCTGTGGCCGCGCCTTCGTCGACCCCGCCTAATCGATGTTTTAGAGTACGCTTAATCTTGGTACCCGTTGTGATCCCCGTGGTAGTGAAAGCCATTATGGTCCCCCTGGGGCGTGGGTGGCCGTGGGTACCCATGGGTACCCATGGGCACCCATGGGCACGAATAACGATAGTGTATATGATTGGGTGGTTTGGATATGGTAAGTCCGAGAAATGCCAATGTCGGGTTTAACGATCTGCCGGCCAGGGTGGGGGCAAGCAGTTGTTGAGCTGTCGACGTGACAATGCTCCGACACGGCCATCACATTGGTCCATCCTTCCGTGATATAGACTATACCGCTGTATCTGGCTCTGTACGTCGTGCGGGACTACAGACCAGCTGCGATCCTGGCCTCAGACGTAAGAGTTTGGGGTGAGGTTGAACAAGCACCCAAATGCATGCGCACAGCCGTGCTGCTGTACTACAGTAGTGACCATAGATTCGGTCCCCACGTTCATCCTCGAAAGGGCGACATAATGTCTCGTGCGGAGTAGAGATCAACATCATATCGACCAACTTAGTAGCTTTCGGCGGGAATGAGCAGTTCGGGTTCCGGCCGACGATGCTGATCGAGAGTGCCGGCAAAGGGCTATGGTGACAGGTCCTTGTATGTCGTCTTTCTTCATTTCAAGGAATCCACTTCACTCTGTGATTACAACCCGTACGGTTGCTCCTAAACGTCGAACCGTCCATTGACCACAGAAGTTCGTCCGCAACGCCCCACTTACAACTCTCGAAAAACGGCCCTACAGCCGCACCGTCTACACAAAGCCAACGCCACGTCGTCGAGTGATGAATATCTGGATTCATACCATGGCCACAAACACAACCCAACTCCTGTGCAACTCCACGCACGGCTCAATGAGCAACTCTGGCACATGTGCATGCGCGCGAACGGTGTATTAGGCTACCCTTCGGTACGACCGTTGTTGCCTCCTAATCAACGACAGCACTTTTGCCCTGCGGAAAAAATGCAGCGAGAGAAACAAGGAAAGCACCATCGTATTGATGTACATGTATACATATGTATATATTTGTAGTCCTCGCCCATGAGTCGACAAAACGGCGTTGTAGAGTAGTTGGAGCCCGTTGCCACTGCATTCTTCGCCTTAGGCCTTCGATACCACGACCTCTGCAACTGGGTTCTTCCAGCCGTAGTCTGCTTTCGAAAGGTCTCCCACACCATTAATGCCTCGGTGCACGTGGATGAAGCCCTCTGAACCAAGGCCATGGTTTTCCCTTGATTTAGGGCTCGCGGGACACGCCCGGCCCGGCATGCAGGTACACTTCTCGTTGTTTTTCTCGGTACCTTTGGGAAGGGGAAGGAAGAGCGGATGGCCCGTGAATCGATTCTCCGGTATTTTGTTTCATTCCCCTCGTGTGTGCGGTTGTCCGTCGTGCGGTCGTTTCGTCCACGTCCCAAATACCATTATTGGTGGGAATGGTTGCCACCAAGAATCGTTTCAAGCCACCCAGAGAATAGTTCTCGTTTTTCGATCCAGATCGGGGTATGTCGTAAAGCAGGTCACGACAGGGGGGTTTAAGTAGGATACGCAAGTGAAAGGTATTCTTGTAGGCAATCGTGATGTGAATACAGAACATGATTTTCGATTATTCGGACGTCTAACTGCGGGACCACACGGGTCGGTGTCGACTATGGAGTATGGTCCTTGTGAAGAGCGACAGCTTCATGGCGATGACGTACGCGTTAGAAAAGTAGGCCTCATATTTCGGAATGGCGTGCGCGCGGAATCCGTGTCAGCTGTGTGAAACTCCCTTGTCCCTTACCGGCATCAAAGGCGGGGGGGAAGAGCTTGGACGGGTGCTTGTCGAGGAACTTGGATCCATCAATTCCCATGAAGGCGTCGTTGGTGTTGGCTGCGTCAACATTGGCAGTTTAATCGATTAGAATTTCGGGTTGTGAGCAGCTTCATTCGACACAGGAGTACAACCCATCTCGTAGGAGAAGGCCTGGGGGATTTCATGAAACGATGTCGAATCAGTGAGTGCAGCGAAATCGCTGAAAGCGATTGAGCGCGTACGAGCAGATGTAGCAAACGGGACGCATGAGGCGGGGTAAGGCCGTGTTCGGCGATATTTGACGCCGATTGTAATGGTGGGATCACAGGAAAATTACCGTAGTCTGAAGCGGCGCCGTGCCACTGAGTTTCACACGTCCTGTAAAAATATACAGCCATGTGCCACCGGACTGTCTCCCTTCAGATCACCATCGGCAATTTGCCTGGACATCAACATTCACACGCCCACAGGTTGTCCACACGGATTCAAGTTCAAATTTGCGACTTGCCGATAACGATGGGAATATGCGTCGTCTTCTGTGTTTCGGAAACTCACTGAGCTTGGCCACCACCGAGTAGACAGGCTCCTTGCATTTGTCCGTGTCAAACGTGATTTCGCCATTCCATGTCTTCCCGGGCAAAAGGGGGCCCTCAGCCGCCGCAAAGCCACAGAAGCCGCCCTCGCGTGTTGCGATCGCCTGTGCGTGCATCGCCCGCCGTTTTGAGAGGCGCGTAGAAACGGTGGAACGTGTGTGGGTTCCGCGTTCCGTAGAGGGAACAGCGGTATTGAAGTGTTCGGGTAGCTCCGGTGACAACACCATGCCACGCTCCGTATTGAGTCCCCCGTCCGAGCAAGAACACGGGGACAAATAATCTCGATGGACGTTGAAAGTTCGACAGAATGAGAGGTAGGTACACATGTGAGAGCGACAACACCTACTTATCTAGACTGCCACGGCAATTGGCTGTTAGCGTGACGCGATGAATCCCTTGTGAAACCAACCAGCGACATACCATTATGTTCCGGTTGTTGCCGTCTTCTGCCATCAGCTTGATTGCGGGTCTCGCCTTCCCGCCCACGGGGAAAAGGTGACTACCCTGGTGAGTAAGAGGGAGAACGAGTGCGAGAGACGAAAAGTGTCACGCCGTTGCGGGGACTGCCGCCTGAAGCATTCATGGTTCGTTGGCAGGAGGTGAGGGCACAATATTCCAACGCAGCCCGTATATTCTCTCCACACATGGTCAGGGAATGCCTCGAGCAACACGAAGGACAAGTACATAGTGTTCAGGACCTGGGCACCTACCTTCTCATGCGCCACGATGATGGGGGGCGAGAAGTCCTGCTTGAAAGTCAAGTTCGTCACGCGAACCTGTACGACGTTTGTTCATGGATTGTGTTTGGAGAGGGCGCGGCAGATAAGAACGTTGGCTGGGTACAGACATGAGAGGGAGGCGCTATCCTGACCGAGCTACGGGTTGAGGGGACAGATACCGGCACCGCCATCGACAGTGTTTGTTCAAGGCACTAATAGTTGTTGCTTCTAGCTTCAACAATGTGTGGACTGGGGGAGCTGCTGTACATTCTATGTCTCGACCCTCTGAGTACCTCGACGGACACTGATCGGCCTCCGCTATCTTCCTCACACACAACACGACCATGGCAGCTCGCCTTGTACGTCTTCATGCTGCTGCCGCTCGTCGAGCAACCGCTGGCGAGGGAGAGCATTGATGCCAAAGCGAGACCGAACGCGAAGTTGACCATCTTCCTCTTGACTGCTGTAGGTGTGATATGGTTGGCAGAATGAAGGAACAGAGGGAACAAAGGCGAAGACAGATGAGTGAGGCAGGTGATGGTGATGGGGATAGACTCGTCTGTCTCTTTGGCATATTCCACGTCGCTCACTGTGAATGCGGGTCTTGTGGAGCCAGAAAGCGCAAATCAACGTTCAGGCCTTGGTGCAGCCGAACAAAATGTATGTTCCTCAGCGTGTACGAACACACATATCGGCATGTGCTTCACGCGCGGGTGGATGTGCACATGTCAACACCACCTAGATCAGGAGACAGTGTCGTATTCCGACAAGTTGAAAACAACGCAACCCGCAGTCATCACTGCCTTCGGCGAGCGAAAATGAGATACGTTTGTCGTTTGCTGTCAAGCTCTTGCTCACTTGCGAACCGCTGGCATACCCTCGAAGCGATTCGAACGGATCACTCATTGCGTGTACCGTGTACCACCCGCCTCACCTTTCCTTTGTCGTCGCGTGATGTTCCACCTCGGTCGATTGTGGTGCGGGATGGCGATGCGGCTTGGGGTTTAGATGTGGTTGTGAGTCTCTGTTGTTTGTGACAGGTGGGGAAGGGTGAGGGCTCGAGGAGAGAGACTGGATCTTCCGTCGTGATCAAGATGGTTGAACCGATCGTCAGTGTGTCCCGTCATCCAAATGCATCGTTGAACTGACAACCGGACGAATAGCGGAACTGTCAGTTTTGCCTCGCGATCGTTGAAGCGAGCCAACCCAGACGTCGACGACTTTCGATTGTGGGCCATACCCGTCTGAACGGTCCACATTGTGCAATTACCGTTCACAGCTGGAAGACGCAGGAAATCGGTCCAAGCTTCAAGCCCGTCGGCCCTTGCCGTGAAAGTGACTTGATGATGTCAGACTCTCCGGACGACAGACAAGGCGGGGGTGTTTGGTCCCCGGATCATCGCCTCACTTTAGCTAGGCCACGTAAAACGTCTGCCGCACTCACCAAACTATTTGCTACCTTGGAGTATCGCCTGATCTCATCAAACATGAAAATAACACCCGAACGTGAAGGGTCCGTCTGTCGGGAGAATCATTCCACGTTCTCTGAGTATCGTCTGGCGCCTCAAACGTCAGGCGCATCGTGCCTTCGGAAAAACCAATGTGCCGATCTTACCCACTTCTCTAGAGGAGTCGCGCTGCGCTTGCTCCGTATCGACACGTGAATGCCCCTCCTTGTCGCAAGGTGCCATGCTTCCGTCCCCGGGGGCAACCCGTAGAGGATTGGCATGCCGGCGCTCGATGCCGGTAGCATTTATTGCCGGGCCGAAGGTTAAATGTGTCGACGACTTTAACACCTTGTGGAGCACTCTCTGTAGACAGGCGATGAAGCGGTGGCGCCGGCGAGTACCGAGCATCGACTGTGACATCGACCGCCTTGGAAACCACAACCGCAAGGAACGGGCCGAGCGACAGTCCGATACAGTCGCGAAGACGCCATGAACCGGCGCTCAGCGACCCCCTCGTAGGGAGAGCGCAGTCATACACACTATCGTTATTCGTGTCCATGGGTACCCACGGCCACCCACGGCCCACGGGGGACCATAATGGCTTTCACCACCACGGGGATCACAACGGGTACGAAGATTAAGCGTACTCTATAACATTGATTAGGCGGGGTCGACGAAGGCGCGGCCACAGCGAGCTGGTACACCCAAGGTTCCGTGGGAGGCTCACAGCACAGCAGTTAGTGAGTCCAGCACTATTCCAGCTCGGCGCCCGAATGTAAAGAAACAGAGGAAGGTATCTAAAGCCGAATAAAAACAACTGAACTGGCTTGGTGTGGGCGTAGAGGAAAGCGCGGCAGTGTGCCCTCACCCAGGTCCACGGCGCGACGCTGAGGGCGTTGTCGCATCTCCCGTGTTTCGTACAGTGCACGCGCACGCCGAGGCCTTGGGCAGGTCTCTTCATCATACTTACTTGTTGCAGATTGAAACGGTACGGTGGGTTTTGTTGTTTTCAAAGCTCCAAGACGTGTCGTCTTTCCTTAGTCGGGACGAATAGGTCCCGTGGTGATCATCATGAATACCCGTCGGCACCCGTAGGGTGCTACGCCACCGATACCAATGGATCGCTACCCACGGTTAACACCACGGGTGCCTGTGGCTACCCACGGAGACGACCATGGGCTAGCGTTAGGCATCAGTTTGGGTGCCCATGGGTCACCATGTGTGTGGCCATGAGTCACCATGGGTACCCACGGGCAATACCCATGGGTACCCATGGGCATTGCCTGTGGGAACCCATGGGTACCCATTGGCATTCTCTGTGGGAACCCATGGGTACCCACGGGGGAATTTCACTTGGTGATGGCGCGAGTGTATCAAACATCTGCACCTAGACAAAGGAATAAACGGGAAACCACGACGCAATGAAGAGGGCCGCGGGGCGGGAAAGCTTCGGGTATGGTTTGAAACGCTTTTGTCACCTGAACGTGCACGCACGCGAATGCGTGTATACTACCTCGGGGAGAGATAAAGTAAGGAACAGAACGCCATTTGGCCTGCGGGTTCGCTTCGGCGACGATTTGAAACCCGGTATGTCGTGACCATCTCGCGTCCACGTGGTTGAAACCCTCTTACGCTTCTTGGGGCGGGGTTGCTTCTGCCACGACTTGAATCCCTTACCCCTTGCTGTATATGCCCCATATTCGGAACTATTCGGCTCGGTCCTGAAGAACCACGAAGGAAACACTAACATACGTAATGACGCCACAAAAAACGATGTTGTGAAAAAATATATGAAGCCAAACACAGCACCATAGAAAATCCACGCTCGACACCTTCACCACGAACTCCGCATCGGGCATCGTAAAATATCGTCGTTACCCTGTGTACGACGCAACAAGGAAAAAAGGTTTCGTCGGAACCAAGATATTGACAAGAAGTCGGAACCACGATGTTGACATACGCACGGCACATATCGTCCCGAGAACAGACAACACCCCCGCCAGGAAGGAAACCCATACCGGGAAACGTTGGCAATTGACAATGTCAACCGTGCAATGGGACAAAAAAAAAAAACGACAACAACGTCAACCCATTCTAGTAAACCCACTGTAGTAAGAAACGTCGCCGATCAAAGTGAGATGACGCAGCTAGATAAGAGGAAGCAACCAAACGGCTCGAATGTACGTAAAGCAGCCCCATTAGGCAGCGCGAATGGTGTAACCATAACCAAGTGCATCCTTCAGCCCATCACCCCAGGACATCTGTGCGGGTGGAATTCCTCTCTGCTAGGTAGAGAGCACCAGGGAACTCGGATCGGGAATGTTGGCCCACTCTCGGCACACCGTAGGAGGACGAAAAAGATGGCAGCGGGAGCTGTGCGGTTCCTGACGTCTACAACCTGCCGTTCCGGATGTATGTGTTGTACGTGCTTCGCTAACGGTCAAAGGTCGGGTGCTGGGACACAGCTTTTTGGTGAGCAGGAGCTCGTTCTTGAAGCAGATGTTGTTGTCCAAGACGAAACCGTTCAGCACCTTTGGCATGCGCATGAGTACATGTGGAAACACTGGTCAGCAAGAGAGGCATGCGTTTCAGAACAAGTGTGGGTAGTTAACGTAGTTGGAGGTACTTAGCCTTAATGAATGAAACAACACGGAGTACGAGTGAGACAGCGAGTAAAATACATCAACGGGGGGCTGTAATGACGGTGTTAACCAGAAACTGGTACTGGTTCGACGCAGGGTGTATCTGACGCACCGCTTAGCCACCCGTTGTTGGACTCGGCGATGGAGGAGTTCCAGTAGAACTCGGGTGGGTCTTGCTGCAAGTTTCACATAAGAGGGTTGTTGTAGTCGTTTGGGTTGTTGAGGATAGAGCACGCAAGCTCCGTATGGCCCCGATAATGGAACCTGCCGGCGTCCACAGTAACGATATGCGCACAACACGGGTATTGGGTACGGCCGGGGTATGTGTTCGACGACGGTACTTCATTCCAAGTTGGAGTTCGGACACACTGTACACGTCACCCCCAACGCCACGCAAACTACAACTTAGAACGCCCAACCTGCTGCTGTGAGTAACTTACTTACAGGGAGCACGCCCTACTTTAGGCCGAGGTGTACGTAGTCTCTCGTTGAATTGCCACGGGTGCTTTGGAAACACAGGCCCACTTGTCACGTACCGGTCGACGATCAGCATCGTTCCAACCCAGGACAGATCCCCTCGGCCGCTCAGGTAGCGGTCCAGAACGCAGGCCTTGTCGTAAAAGAGGATGGTCGGGCGTCGATCCTCATCGGGAAAAATATGTTTCAGGGCCGCGTCCACATCGGCACATCCTTCCGCCTCCAAGAGGGGCACTATCCCGCAGATGATCCCGCAAGACCAGCTCGCGGAAAGACTCCCCCAGCTGCTCTTCCTTCCTAGAATTACACGGAGCATCCTCATGTCCTCAGGCTATGTTGTCGGCACACACACGCACACAGTGACAAGGGAGGTAGGGGTTTGTGATGGTGCCGATCAATGTGGCTTAAATCCGGCTACTCCCATGCGCGCCAGATTCGTTATGATACACTCGATACCGCCACGTTCAAAATAGGTTAAACCCGAAGCCTGCGGTGTCAGGTGGGCTTCAATCGCAGGCCCTCCTACAGTGTATTCTTGGAGTACATGGTGATGTACACCCTCAACTGATGTTGGTGTGTGGACCTTCTGTCTCAAGTCCATGCGGTGTGACAAAAAACGTTCGCGTCGTCTGCCGGGCGCGTTCCGTCCTCGCCTGAGAACCCATGTCGGAGGGTTCATCCCGGCCGGAACGCGCCTATTGTCCTGTAGCTGTGGTGGGGTTAGGAGTAGAGTGTAGGGTAAAATAGCTTGCGCTGTTGAAGGAAATACGTTGAGGTGGGTATTTCTCGCCCGTGAAGCAGAGGGGCAGTCGATGCAAAAGCCACGGCGCTTGTGCGAGAGTTTTTCGATTGGAACGTGCACACATCACGTACGGGAATACCTCTAACATTTGTTTTTGCTGAAGCAAAAACGGCACCCCTATCGGAGCGGTTTTTCATAAAAAAAACTTCCAAAAATAAAGAACGCAAGGGGAAAGGAGTAACAGTTATGGGGTGCTGTAAAACGGGCCAGATGAAGGAGGAGGACCCCAAGCAGCTCTGTACCTTCCAAGAACACTTCTTTTGACTCACGACGAAACAGGTAGTTGAGAAGCCCTCCCGAACCCTCTGGTGATGTAAAGACGATCCAATCACAGAGTATGCCACCGCCGCGATGGTTGTTTATGCAGAAACCCCACATCAAAAACGCTTCGTCGTAAATTGCTGTTTCGTCCTAAAGGCGGGTGGGCGTAGCATGCGTTGATTCTACGACACCTCCTGGTCCAAGAAGCGCGCTCGCTGTGCAGCAGTCCACGTAACCTCCCGGTTCCTTCTGTTGAACTCGTCCTCCTGCGCCTTGTGTGCTGTGCACGTTAGCCTGTTGTCCTCGCGATTGTTTCCGCAGGGCGGTTGTGCGACCCAGAACGCGCATTTGTGCCCGTGTACAGCAGCGTGGTCCTCGCAGTATCTGTCATTCAAAGATCACAAAAGATCACGAAAAGACCTCGGCGTATCTTGATTATTGTTGCCTTCCTACGATACGCAGTTTGTGTTGGTTGTCGTTTGACTGGTCTCGCAGTGTATGGAAGACGTAGCTGGTTACGTTATGCATGCTGTTGGTGAGCCTCTGTGTCACGAAAACCTCAGCCATCGATCTAGCGTTGTACAAGCGGCACCCCTTACTATCCCAGAAAGCTAATCGACGGCGCAGCTGCCATCGTTTTTCCTCATACCGATACGTCGATTAACGCGTGTCTCAGCAAGCATGATGAACTTGGGCATGACGCTTCCATTCAGGTAGCTTTAGCGACACGTATTTAACGTTGGTTGTGGTGATGATGCACGAATACGTGCAGTCTAGCGGCAAGGGCTTGGGACAGGGCTTCGGACGGGGTTCCCACATTATCGTGTAAATGGATTCACTGTTATAACAGTGAAATTCACTATTATAATAGTGAATGCCACTGTTATAACAGTGAACGGTCACTCTTACAACGGTGAGGAGCACTCTTATAGAAGTGAGGAGCACTCTTACAACAGCGACTATCACTTTCATAAGAGTGACGTCACTTGTATAAAAGTGATAGTCACTTTTACAATAGTGATACTGACTGTTGTAAACGTCACTCCCCCCCACCATGAAAGTGAAAGCCACACTCACTTTCACAGACACTCCTACAACAGTCAAATCACTATTATGAGAGTCA